AGAGAGGGAGGGAGGGAAGAAGAGAGGAAGGGAGGGAGGGAGGGAAGGAGGGAAGGGAGGGAAGGAGAGAGGAAGGGAGTGAAGGAGGAAGTGAAGAGAGGCTGAGGGAGAGGAAACTAGCCCTACCATATAATGTTCTCAGTCTAATGACCGTGGATAAATAAGATGTGCTCAAGAACTTCAGAAACATGGTGTTTCACCTCTTCCCTTACACCCCTTTCTTAACAACTAGAGCATCTCAGAGTCACCTGACATCAGTCAATACCCTGACAATTAATCCCCCTCATCTTCTGCCAAATAATAAATAAGATTCTAGTCACAAGGGTACCTCTAAATATCAGCAAACGAACTGAACACAAAACGGTCATTAGAGAAGCCACAAATAAGCATTCCCAGGACCTAAACGACCTGGAAATTAATGGGAACAGAAAGGAAATCTAATCAGGAATTGATGCTGATTTTACACGGCGCAAAGAATGTTCTCAGAGTCAGTCCCGTCTGTCAAAACCACTTGGTTTGTGGGTTTGATTTCTAAACAAAAGTAATTATTTAGATGAAGCTTGAGCTTCAAGACAAAGGAAAAACAACACCATTCAAGGTGCCACTGAGGAATTGCAGCTTGTGCCAAGCAGCAGATCAAAATGATGGTGACATCCCGCTGGAACAAATGAAAGAGTACAACAAAGACCCTTTTATGATCCTCCCTTAACAAAGAAAGTCCTAGAAGTAGATCTTCTTGAGTGAGGCTTTACCAGGGGAATCCGACCCTAATCTGCTCTGAAAGAGGATGAGAATCTTTTGTTTCTGAGGCTACAAATCATCTGATACTTTATTGTTTCAGGGTGAGAAAGGTTGTTATTACTTAAGGGGAGGGGGAGAGAATGGGTCTCCAGATGTGCCAACCATAAAATGAAAGCCACAATGAAGTCACCAGCCCCCTGAGAATAATTAGTGACTGCACTCTTACAAAACAGTGTCCTCACATGAAAATTCAGATGGCGGCTGCCACAAACAAAAGTGGTCAATAAATCCAGAATAATCACAGTTGTGTTTTTTTCTATACATACACACTGAGTCCATTAGCTCTATTTTATTGAAAAGCATGTAAGTGCACATGCAACCAATATGCCTCTTCTCCTAAGAAGTAATGCATTATTGCAACTGTATCTTAGACTGAAATAATACACACACAGAAAAAAAATTTTCATTTTATACAGATCTCTCCCCCAATTTTTTTTTTGATTTTATGTATCAACTACTTTAAAATGTACTGATAGAACTAAACTACTCATGGGAAAAAATGCCATTCACGGACCCTTCTGTCATGAGAGGACTGTGATAGGACTCTGGGGTAGGAGATGTAGGAACTACAAACGAAAACTTTAGTGTCTCCAAGAAGCGCAATTCCTAAATTCAACTTTAAACCATAAAGCATCTCAGAGTCACCTGACATCACTTGAAAGGGACAGTGAAATTGGCCAAGGAAATTCTGTTAAAATGGTGATCAGGTTCCCAGGCTATCTCAATAATGGCTGTTGAATCCCCAAGTTTGTTAGAACTTGTAGCTTTTGTTTACGTTTGGGTCCTGAGAACAAAGAAGGAGCCTAGCAGAGGAAAGACAATAGTTTCCTCTGGCTTTCAAAGCTTCTAAGGCAAGCATAGGCACTACATTTTTTTTTTTTTTTGAGACAAAGTCTCATTATGTCGCCCTTAGTAGAGTGCTATGGCGTCACAGCTCACAGCAACCTCCAACTCTTGGGCTTAAGTGATTCTCTTGGCCTCAGCCTCCCAAGTAGCTGGGACTACAGGCACCCCCCACAACACCCAGCTATTTTCTGTTGCAGTTGTCACTGTTGTTTAGCTGGTCTGGGCCATATTTGAATCCGCCACCCTTGGTGTATGTGGCTGGCACTGTAACTGCTGTGCTACAGACACCAAGCCATGGCATAAGGTACTAATGTGATAATTTTACTACAGACCACCATTTCACTTCAATCCATCATTTGTGTTCCCTACCATTTTGTAAGGGTTGTATTTCTAGTGAAAAGCACGTACTCTGTGGAAGGAGCACATCCGTGTTTTATGATACATTTTAAAGAATATTATAAGCCTGTGATAGCCCTAAAAATAAAACAGGTGATCCAAAATGGGGCATAATCTAAACCATTACTCCAAAAATTTTCAAAACATAATTTCTGGTATTCAGATGGTCTTTGTGAAAATTATTTTGTATTTATTTTTTGGATGATAAAAAAGTGGTAACCCAAAAGGCCTGGCAAGTAAGCAAGCAATTAAAAACTGGCACAGGCAATTTAGGCAATATTTAAAGTAGATAATTAAGGAAATTACTAAGACTATGAAAATATGTCAGCCTAAAAGGTATAAATACCAATGCTAGAAAAAGTATTCAGAAAGTATCGAGTGTTTTCGTCTAGTTCTCAGTTGCTCCCACAAAAAGACACCTTGAAAATGTACTGTTATTTTTAATAAAATTCTTAGAAAAAAAGAGTGTATTATTTCAAAAGTAGCTCAAGTGTGGAGGGACTTAAACAAATCGGTAAGAGCATCCAAGTAATTTATTTGGTAATAAACTATAGTAAGCAATCATAGAAAACAATTACTTTGAAATTTCAATAACATTAAAGAAAATCATGCTTTTTTTAACCCATAAAGAGGCATGATTTTAAGAAAGTTGAGCAATTCATTTAAAGCAGCAGTTCTCAGCCTGTGGGTCTCAACCCCTTTTTTCCATTTGTAACAAGGCGGCAATTAGCAAGGTTGAGAACCACTGATTTGAAGTTTCAAACACCACCCTATCTCATCAATGAAGCTTTCTCAAGACTCTGTAAGTTTCCATTCTGGTCTTCCCTATACCCTGGCTAAAACTCTTGAAGGATCCTTTTGCTTTTTGCCTGATGTTTCATTTAGTTAACTTACGTCCCAGTCCATCTCTGGCTAGAGACTATCAGCCTCTTGAAACCCAAGGGGACATCTTATTCAACTTGGCATTCTCCCAAAGCCTTACAAACAGTAGATACTCAGTAAGTGACTGTTGACCTCTGGTCACAAATTCCTGCAGAGGAATTTAGCAT